CCATTGAGATATTTCTGTGTAGACTAGATGCACGCGGACTCAAGGTACACCATTGAGTCCTCGTACATGGCATTCCACCACGATGTAGAGAGAACGTCGACACAGTGCCTGCTGATCGCTGCTGATCACATGGGAGGACGTCGTAATGGCAAGCATGAGATTTTCAAAGCTATCCAAGACAAGGGCGGGGCGGGACGTTCTGTGTTCCTCGGCCCAAGCACGCCGACCGTGCCCCCCGCCTCCGCGATTTGAATAGTCAGCTGCCCCCGCCCGCACACGAAGCGGTGCGCTGCGCGGATGGGCGAAGTGATTGATTGATTGATTGAATGGTTTATTGTCAACATTAAAAGGACTAGATCAGGGGTCGCAAACTCGAGCTATCCGCCGAGCGCCAAGCCTCGCCTGCATAGGCCACACGCATTGCGAGCTCTTCGGCAAGAAGAGTGAGAGAGATAGATGTAGTGGTGCCTCAGCGACCGACCCGTGCCCGGCCGCACTGCTGTCACCGCCGGCTAGCTTCGCTGTGCGCTCGGTCGTCGGCCAGTGTGTCTGTCTTTGTCACTCCCAATGGCGCCTGAGTGAGTGCGACAAAGACGGACACACACACTGGGCCAGCGAGCGAGCGGCGTGTGTCCAGCGACAGACGACGACGGCTGGGTCCGGCTCAGCTTCGAGCAACCCGAGCGTGGCTCTCGGGGGCTCGGATCCACCCGAAGGCAAGAGGTGCGCGGCTCTCGGCGAGCCGCGCTACCGGGCTAGGCGAGCCGCGCTTGGCTCGGGAGCCGCGAGTTTGCGACCCCTGGACTAGATAGTCCCGCTACAAAAGTGTACGTCGTGTACGTGTACGGCGAGCGGACCGTCTGTCCCCAGATGATCACTCTGTCTACGCCGTCTCGGTTCGTAGTGTCGACTCCGCTTGGAGGCACTGTTTTATCTCCAACCGTACGAAAAGTGTGATAATTTTGTAATTTTTGATCGAGGAAAATTATGACACTTCTATTGGTAATGTTATGGCCCGTTGTATGACACTCTCAAAACTCACAATTTTGTCATAAAATGCTGTCATATGCGTCATAAGTAACCCATCGATTTGGCATACAGCCGTCGACAAAATTATGACGAATGTATGCCTTACATTTCTAGGCGGGGTCACCGGCACCGGCAAGCTCTCATGACGCCTGATAGGTAGGCAACATCTTGCCTTCAGGACATGCGGGTACTGCGGGTGGCATACCATGACATTCGCAGGCGCCGAGCTCCAGTAGTTTGTCTCTAGAACTGGCCCGCTGCAGGCCGGGGGCGTATGAACAACTCTAGGCTGCAGAGGTTCCCAGTCAGAAGGGTTTATGGCGCGATATCGAAAC